CCCGACAATAGATCCAGGTAGGTAGCCGTGTTGGTCTGAAGCAGTAGAACAAAGTTTGAGTCCAATGGCACCTTTAAGATCAACAAAGTTTAATTCACATGTAAGCTTATACCTTGAATAAAGCTTTGTTTGTCTTAAAGGTGCCACTGAACTCAAGACAGAGGTTTTCTGGCAGAAACCAGAAAGGCAGACCGGGGACTTGACTTGTCTTGGACGGAGTAGTACTCCCCTTGAAAAGCCAGGTTCATAGTTTGGGAGTGGTAGTTGACACAGCACTTACCTTAGAAAAAGTGGTTTGGAGTGCTTTTTGTCTAGCTTCAGCCAATGCTTCCTCTAACCGGTGGAGCAAAAATTCTACTTTGTGAGCGACTGGCATTAAAGTTGTGAGCGAGCGATTTGGCCACTGCATAATTTAGTTTGCTCTGGGGCCATCCTTCCTGAGCTAAGACAAAAACGTGTGAGCCGGAAGCTAAAAAACTGTGAGCTAGCTCACACTAACTCAGCTTAGGGGAAACACTGGCTTCAACTGGGTCAGTCAGATCTAGCCACAGTGATTCGTGCCTTAGTTAAATCTAACCTAGAGAATTGCCAAATCTTTTTTTGTGTGTGTATTTTTGCATTTGTGTGTGTGCGCGCGCGCGCGCGTGTGCGTGTGCCCATGCCTGGAAGTCATGGTGATCTCTGGCAACTCCTACTGGAGCACGAAGGTTGTTCAGAGAACTGGCTTGATAGTCTGCCTCTGGCCTCCCAGCCCTGGTATTCTCTGGAGGTTTCCTATCCAAATACTTGCCGGGGTCAGCCCTGCTTAGCTTCCAAGATCTGACAAGATCCGGCTTGACTGGGCTATCCAGGTCAAGGCTAGACTGGAGTATAGCAATGCACTGTGCTTGGGACTACCCTTGAAGAGTGTTTGGAGGCTGCAGCTAGTGCAGGATGCCGTGGCTTAGACTGCTAGTCGGGGCCAGCTATCAGCAACATGTGACCCCAATATTACAGCAATTATACTGGCTACCAATCCACTCCAGAGCCCAATTCAAGATGCTGGTTTTAACCTTTAAAGCCCTACAGGGCTTGGGGCCTGGGTAGCTGAAGGACTGTCTTCTCCTATTTGTTCTGGCCCAGGAATTAAGATCAGAGGGAGAGGCCCTCCCGACTACCCCATCAATCAAAGAAGCTTGTTTGGTAGGTACAGGAGAGAGGGCCTTTTCAGTAACAGTCCCACGATTATGGCACAACTGCCCGGAGAGGTGCATCTGGCCCCCTCACGTTCGATTTTTCGGAGGCAGTTGAAGACAGATTTATTTAGGACTGCATTTGGTTAAATTTACCAGCAGACCTGAGTTGTGATTTTAAATTTCAGTGTTTATGCTTTTCAGGGGTCATTTCATAGAAAAAGAGGTGCAGGAGTTTATTAGCATAAGACATTAGCATAACTTATTTGCATATGCCACACCCCCTGACATCACCAGACGTGTGTCAGAAGGCAACACCCACCACTTAGGCTCCACTGGACTGTTTTGGATTGCTAGCTGTTGGGGGGTGGGGAACGTGCAGATCTGTCCTCACAGAGGAGGGAGAGCTTGTACCTGAATAAAACTTGGTCTTAAAGGTGCCACTGGACTGTTTTGGACCAGGGGCCTGGGGGGGGGGGGGCTCTGCAGCTTACCTGGCTGCTTCTTGCTCTGACTGAGGGCTGCTGGGAGCAGGGAGTGGGGCTTATTGCATGTGCCCGCCCCCTGGGCTCTTTACTGCTGGAGCTCCGCTCCTGTGCGCTCCTGCAGGAAAAGACCCCTGATGCTTTTAATGTATTTTATTTTATATGTGGCAGATCCCTGCCCCCTTTTGATTTCCCATTGCTGTTTGGAGCAGCAGCAGAAGAAATTTTGTTTTAAATGCTGTTAGGCTGATGGTGCGCTGTCACTATGATTTTACTACATTGATTCTGATGACTCCTAGAGAGGTGTGATGTCATTTCCTGGAAGTGACATCACACTGTTCCCAAGGCCTCCCCATGACCCCCCCATCTCCTGGTGTTGCCAGGCCAGCCATACATTCTCAGCCTAATCTACATCATCTTGTTCCAAACATGAAATGGAGGAAAGGAGAATGATGTAATCTGCTTTGGGTCTCCATTGTGGAGAAAGGCCAGATATATGTGAAGTAAATAAATAATAAATTTAGCAGAAGATGAAGGGAAGATAAAGGCTTAGGTTAGTTGGTGGGTGGAAGGGAAAGAAGGAAGCAGGGAAAGATGAGTATATGGGGGGATTCTGTAAGTTTCAAGAAAGACCAGTATGCATGAGAGAAGTTGTTCTGGAGACAGGGCCTGTGAAATCAGTTACGTGAAGGCTGGCTTTACCCCTGGTTATGTCTGGCTTCTTCCACAATTGGGAGTAAAGACATGCCCATACCACGGCAGCAGCAGCAAGTGGGGCAAGGATGAGCAGGAACTCACCTGTCCCTGCTGTGCTCACTGCTACTTCTGCCTCACATCTTCCCCACTTGGCTCCACCGAAACTGTGCAAAAGCACAGACATAGCACTGATTTCAGTACCTCCCTATAAGACCTCTCCCTTCCCTTTCCTTGTCCCTACTAAGCCATGCTGTAATGCTGCAGTGCAGCTCATCCAGAAAAAAAAAAAGCCACTGAAAGGTGGTGGGGATGCAGAGCTTAGCGCTGCCATTTTGAAGGCACAGCATGGTTCTCCCCCCGCCCCCCGTAATGGTTGCAGGTGGAATGTTTCCCACCTGAGCAGGATCAAAGGAGGTTTATGTTTCATCTGGCTCAAACAAAGGGTTGCTCACTCTGACTTCAGAAATTCCTGGAGATTGGGGGATGGGGGCAGAGCCTGGGAAGAGAAGCTCAGCAGGGATGTGATATCACAGACTTCCTGGACATTGGGGGGGGGGGGGGGGGGGGGGAGAGGAGGGACCTTGGCAGGGCACAATGCCATACAAGCCCACCCTCTGCAGCAGCCATGTTTCCCTATGGAATTGATCTTTGTGGTCTGGAGATCTGTCATAATTCTGGGAGAATGTCAGACTGCCAACTGAAAGTTCACAATCCTTTTTTTTTAAAAAAAAAATAAGCACACAAACACCTTTCCTCTCCCCGAACACAGGAGTATGATCTCGTGATTGTAGAGTACACTAAAAGCTAAGAGGGAGCGTTTTCCCCATCACTTCTTGGACTAACTCAGACAGTTCCCAAACGATGTTGTGGGAAAGGTGCCAATCAGCAGCAGCCCACCACTGCTCCCTTCTTGATGAGCTTCTGCGTGGCACTGAAACCGACTTCTTCACAGTATCACGTCTGAGCGGCTCTCCCCATATCCTAACCGCTCCCTCCTTGCCCTTTCCAAACAAGTTACGTACTGAACAAAACAAATAAAACTAGCGGATGTGGCAGGGAAACATGCAGGATATTTACCAGCTCCTCGACTTCCTTTCATCTAAAGGGGGTTCCTGACAAGATGGTTGTCTTCCTTTCATCTAATAAATATGTTTATCTCTTTGTGGGGCTTTGGGAGATCTCAGGCTGTGGCTAACATTCTTTTGACTCCGTTGGCACCACGAGAAACCGGGAGGAGATTATAAAATGTCATCTGAATTGTGCAAGGGCTTCTTCCGTACAGACGGAACTAGAGGAATACATGTTCAATCAGGCTTTGTGATGTTAAATACAGATAAAAGGAACTGGAGGTTGTTGTAGAGAATCAAATGCCATCACGTAAATATTAATCTATGTAGTACATCTTAATCCTGCCCTTAGTTCAGGGAGTTCAGGGAAGAACAACAGGTTCTCCCTTCCCCATTTTATTCTTACAACAATCCTGTAAGGTAGGTTAAGCCAGAGGTCATTTCAGGGGATCGCGGGGGATCACAGTTTCCCCGGGTGAGGTATGGGGGGGGGCACATGACGAAGCCCCGCCCCCTGCTTCCGGCCGCCCCGCTTCCGGCCCTCATTCAGCCAGGAGGAGGCAGGTGAAGAGGGAGGGTAAGTTGCTTCCTCCCTGCCTCTCCCCACCCCTGCCTGCCTGGGGCCAGGGAGGGCCTTCGCGGGGCTTCCTTGCACTCCCACCGGCCTTGCAGGTCCACCGCCGGGCCCCTCATGGGGCTCGGCAGTGGAGCTGCAAGGCCGGCAGTGGCGGCCAGGACTGTTGGGGGCGGGGTGTGTGGCCTTATGACACACGTCCGGTGATGTCAGGGGGTGTGGCATATGCTAATGAGTTCCCCTAGCTCTTTTTCTACGAAACGGCCCCTGGGTTAAGCTAAGAGGGGGTGATTGATCCAAGCAAGGGCACCCAGCAAGCTTCATGGTAGAGTGGGGATTTGAACCTGGGTGTCCCAGATCCTAGTCTAATATTTTAACCATTATAACACTCATGAAGCGGCTTTAGATTGAGTCAGACCATTGGTCTATCAGGGTCATCTATTTTGACTGGCAGCATCTCTCCAGGGTCTCAGGTGAAGGTCTTCTTTCACATTTTAATTAGAAATGCCAGAGTCTGAACCTAGAACTATCTGCATGGAAAGAAGACACCCTGACACATAGTCACAACACCTTCCTATGCTGATTTCAAAACTGTTATGACTATAATGACCTGATTAATTTCACTAACTGTTATACTCTATTGGCACAAAGACATGTGCACAAACAAACTTTTGCTAGATCTTTTGGGTGCCCACATGGTTTCCTAGACTGGGAGGCCAAGTAAAGGCATACGATGTAGCTGCAGTTCAAGTTCTGCTTGGTCTTTTCCCTGCAGCTGTTTCCACTGCTGAAGAAACAAGTGTCTCTAACATGAAACTATGGCTTGCCTCTTCTGCAATAGATTGTCACAAGAGTGTAAGCTGCAAGACAATTGTGATATGGCACAATAGGTTTAGGAAGAGGTCCTCAAAGCTATTCATTTATCCCTGGAAATCTGTACCATTTAAACACAGAATTCATATTCTTCTTAGTTCAGAATTCCTTGAAGGGGCAGCCGGTTCCTTACCTTTTGTGGTTCATAAGCAGCTCCCTGTGAAGTTCTTGGTGGCTTTTCGAGGCTCTTACAGGATTGAGGAGCTTTTTAGGTTTGATAAGATCAGGGTTTCCATCAATGTAATCTGGGTGAGCCATGATATTCCCAAGTTCAGGCCGTTCCCTCTGTATTTCAGAATACATAGATGCTAGAAGAGAGAGAGAGAAGGAGGGAAAACAGATCTCTGGGTTAAATATCAGAGAAAATGTTCAGGAGGAAAAAGAACATAATAGCTGATAATGCCCATCTCTTCTCAAAGACTCATCTTTTCTGACATTCAGATATTAGTTATCAATCACAGTATTTGGGCAACCCCTATCTCTTGAATAAAGCAAATAATTTGAGAAGAAGGACCCTTTTCCAAGACCAGCTGGAGTATTCCCAGGGGTCAAATGCCCTATAGCACCACACTGCCCCCCCCCCCCCCCGATGCTATGCTGGGCAGGCTTCCAGTCACCTGCCCCCTCCCTTCTCGCAGCTAATGAACAGAGAGGACAGTTTCCAAGGCACTCTAGTTTGCATCTCAGTGATTTTCAAGAGCTAGCCCCATAACACACCAAGTTTTCACTCAGAGGCTCAGTTCAGCCATTGTGTAAAACCTTGATTTATTTTAATTATGGTTAATTTGTGAAACCAGGATTTGGCTCACAAATGATCAATCAGATCCTAGTTTGCCTGAACAAATGCCTTCTCTCTGTAGCCTGGGAGAGAGTAATCATGGAACAAGCCAATATTAGACTGAGATATCTGCCTACAACCAGCCACAAGGGAAGTGGGGATTTACATTGTTGGTGTCATGCTGCTGTGATGATGTCACTTCCAGAATGACCCAGAAGTGACATCATCACCCCAGAGGCAACGTTCTAATGTTCAATCCCAACTCTGTAGTTTCACCAGAAAATTTCGGGCAAATGCTACAGTATTACCTGACACAATGATGTCACTTCTGGGTTGCACTGGAAGTGATGTCATGGTGTTCACCTGGCATTTTTTCTCTATCATCAAGCAGAGTGGTAGGGGGCAGAGGCAGTAGTGGGCAGGGCAGGAGATCTGGTAACTCTGGAATTCATACATCACTTAAAACAGTGGTTAACTCACCATAGTTAATAACTAATTTCGGATCTTGGATCCAGATCCTGATCGGACAGACCTTAACTTACTATTGCTAGTGGAGTGGCATGCATTCAGACAATTAACCAGAGTGTGTTTAATTACACTAAAGTTTTGTGTGATGTCTGAACCAGGACAGGGACAGGGAAACTATGGGCAAACCTGTCACGTGGAAGCCCTTTTGTGACTGGGCTGTATTGGTAGCCACAGCAGAAGTGAGGAAGCTACACATGCTTGTCTCCATGTGAAAAATATCCTAATGACATTTGCCAAGTGAAGTCTATTGAAATCAAACATTTTAGAAATCAAGACAAGAATAAAAGGACAGTGTTAATGATATGCAGCTAAAATATAGTAATAAGCCATTTTTTTCTGGTAAAAGAATTCAGTGTTGAATTACTAGCTTCCCATTGCATGCTAACAGGATGTATCCCACTACTGTAGTAAGGAGAAAAACAGATCACAACCGATTACATCAGCATAATTGGGGTGAAAAGTTCAGTTGTAACAATTAAGCATCACAGAAACACTGAGGGCAGTGTTTGTCCACATTTCCATGGGAATCAGAAATTTATTTTAAGGAAAGGAAAAGGCCTGTCATGTTCAGAGTCAGACTTGTCAGACACTGAGGATATTCCTTATTCTAATTCAGAACAGCCTCAAAGAACACAAGGGGAATCTGCTTCTCTAAGAATAGCACATTTTCATAACCACAATTGTTCATTAGCCTACCCTACCTTACAAGGCTGTTGTGAGGACAACATGGAGGGGGGAGGGAGGAGGTGACAAGGAAGTAAACCAGTCTGAACTCCTTAGAGGAAGGGTATGGTAAAAATGTCACAGACAGTCAGGAAAACCAAAATGACTTAAATCAAGAAAATGAATATTTTACAGGTCCCCACTCCTCCCCAAACTATATGCTTATGCCAACCCTGATTTTTTTAAAAGTGAGTATTATTACGGTGGCATGAAAAGGTGTGCAAGGAATAGATAGTACCAGGCTCTCTGATAATCTCCAGAGAGAAATTCCCCCAAATCAGCATATTTATTGATTCATTCATTCATTCATTCTTCACATTTCTACCCCGCCCTCCCAGCCAAAGCCAGCTCAGGGCGGCTAACCTAAAATCGACACATGGTTACAATAAACAATTAAAACATTTAAAACAGAGCTAAACCAATTAACAATAACATAATAAGTCCTAGTATTGTTGTTATTAAAACAGCGATGGCTACTACCATATCAGCTCTCTTCCTATAACCAGCTCGTAGATCTTTTTATTTTATTTATTTATTTTATTTTTAGCATTTATATCCCACCCTCCCCGCAAACGGGCTCAGGGCGGCTTACAAAGAGCAACAAGTGCCCACGCATAAAATCACATTAAAACAGTAAAAACAGTAATTATCAACACAAATAAGGTGCTCAGTAAAAAACAAGATGGTCACCTCACCGAATAAAATTACAAGATGGTATCAGTCTTTCATAAAGGTGGAGTTGTCCTGTAGTTAGTGTACAACCAGTTGGTATACGGCGCCATGAAGTATCCTGGCAGATCTTCCAGGGACCGTCCCCCCTAGCCCCGTTGTTACCCACGCCATCTGTGGTGGTGGCAGCAGCGGCCCCTACATAAAAGCCTGGCGGAAGAGCTCCGTCTTACAGGCCCTGCGGAACTGCAGAAGGTCCCGCAGGGCCCTGATCTCCTCTGGGAGCTCATTCCACCAGGTAGGAGCCGCCATTGAAAAGGATCTGGCCCTGGTCGCGGCAAGCCTTGCCTCCCTGGGGCTTGGAATCACCAGGCAATGTTGCATCCTGGACCGAAGTGCTCGTGGGGGTATGTGTGGGGAAAGGCGGTCCCTCAGGTAGGTCGGACCCTGACCATATAGGGCTTTAAAGGTAAGTACCAGCACTTTGAAACGGATCTGGTATGCTATTGGCAGCCAGTGCAGTGCTTTCAGCACAGGCTGGATGTGTTCCCACTTGGGGAGACCCATCAGCAGCCTGGCCGCAGCTTTCTGCACTAGCTGCAGCTTCCGGATCTGTGACAAAGGCAGCCCCATGTAGAGAGCATTACAGTAGTCTAGCCTCGAGGTGACCGTCGCGTGGATCACTGTAGCCAGGTCATCATCATGGTTGAGGAAGGGAACCAACTGCCAAACCAGCCTAAGGTGGTAAAATGCTGATCTGGCAGTGGCTGCCACCTGGGCCTCCATAGTTAAGGAGGGATCCAGGAGCACTCCCAAACTCCTAACCTCCAACGCTGGCACCAGAGGTGTCCCATCGAAGGTCAGGAGAGGGACCCCCAACCCCGAACCGATCCGACTCAAGCACAGGACCTCCGTCTTTGCTGGGTTTAGTTTCAGCCGGCTCAGCCTGAGCCACCCAGCCACGGCCTGTAATGCCCGGTTCAGATCTTCTGGGTCGGAGCCCGACTGACCACCCAACATCAGATAGAGCTGGGTGTCATCTGCATATTGATGGCAACCCAGCCCATACCTCCTGGCAATCTGGGCAAGGGGGCGCATATAGATGTTAAACAACATCGGTGAAAGCACTGCCTCCTGAGGCACACCACATTCAAGTGGGTGCCTCCGGGACTGCTGTTCCCCTATCGCCACCCTCTGTCCCTGACCTTGGAGAAAAGAGGCAAGCCATTGAAGAGCGAGCCCATGTATCCCCACGTTGGCAAGGCGGCAGGTCAGCATCTGATGGTTGACTGTGTCAAACACGGCCGACAGATCTAACAACAACAGTGCCGCCACACCTCCTCGATCCAGATGCCTCCAGAGGTCGTCTGTAAGGGCAAACAGCACCGTCTCCGTCCCATGCCCTGGGCAAAAGCCGGACTGGAATGGATCAAGGACAGAAGTGTCATCCAGAAAGCCCTGTAGCTGTGTCACCACCGCCCTCTTGATCAATTTGCCCAAATAGGGCAAATTAGACACTGGCTGATAGTTGGCCAATTCAGCCAGGTCCAGAGTTGGTTTTTTCAAGAGAGGGCGGACCATCGCCTCCTTAAGTGCTTCAAGGGAACCGCCCCTCCGAGAGGGACTTGTTGACAATCTACCTTAAGGCACCTCGGAACCCCTCGTGGCCCGCTTTAATGAGCCAGGAGGGGCACGGATGTACCCCCTCAAATATCTTGCAGGCTGCTGGCACAGGCTGTTATTATGACTTCCAAAGGCAATGGGCTTCCTATCCTAGTTGTTAGTGGTGGTGGCGGCGCCAAAAGCCTGGCGGAAGAGCTCCGTTTTACAGGCCCTGCAGAACTGTAAAAGGTTCCGCAGGGCCCTGATCTCCTCTGGGAGCTCATTCCACCAGTATGGAGCCGCCACCGAAAAAGCCCTGGCCCTGTTTGTCAACAGCCTGGCCTTGAGACATGGGAGGGCCATCGGTTCTGGGTCCCTGAACGCAATACTCTCTGGGGAATATGTGGGGAAAGGCGGTCCCTCAGGTATGTAGGCCCCTGACCATAAAGGACTTTAAAGGTAAGAACCAGCACCTTGAAATGAATTTGGTATGCTATCGGCAGCCAGTGCAATGCCTTTAGCACAGGCTGGATGTGCTCCTGGATTGGGAATCCCATCAACAGCCTGGCCGCGGCATTTTGCACCCGCTGCAGCTTCTGGATTTGCAACAAGGGCAGCCCCATGTAGCGAGCATTACAGTAGTCCAATCTCGAGGTGACCATTGCATGGATCACTGTTGGCAAGTCATTGCGTTCGAGGAAGGGGAAGAAGGAAGAGCACAGCATGGATGCTCCATGTCATTTTGCCCCCTTAAACAACAGCAGCACACAAGTCAAGAGATGTTTTGCAGGCAGCTCATGGGATCCTGGATGGCAGCTGTTGACTTACATTCACTGACAGCTGCAGTGCACAGCCCCAGAGATGTACTTAGGCACCTTTCATAACAAGTCCTACACAAGGATTTATATCCAGTGATTTATTTATTCATTCATACCTTGCCTGTCATCTTGGCTCAAGGTGGCTACAGGAAGAAGTAGTAGAAGAAGAAGCACTGGCTTTATATCCTGC